CATTCTGTAGTGTCTCTTGGAAAAAAATACTTTTAGATATTGACCCACTTTAAATGTTAATTCTGAGCTAACCCTCAGCAGCCAATCAGAATGCACTTTGTACTGGCTGATTTCAGTGAATGAAAATAGAATTCGCTATTTTTCCACATTGCATTATAAAAGTTAAACTTACAAACTGCTTGATGGAAACAGTCAAGAAGACTCCTTTAGAATGTAAAACATTTTCACTCTTTTATTTGAAAAAAAAAAAAAAATGTATGATTTGGGCTTTTTTAAATAAGCGAATAATGTGACTTTTAAATTGAAAGGCAAACAAAAGAGCAGAAATTAAAATAATAAATTAATATTCATATTTTTTAACAGGTGCGCCTAGTGACCAAAGCAGTGGTACATCATCCCCCCTGTGTGACAGTGGATTACATCTAAACTATCATCCAAATAATACGGTATGTCTTTTAATGTAGAAGATTTTTTTAATGCCCATAACATATCAATAAGGTCATACAATGAATATAATAAATACATACAAGTACAGCGCTTAAAAAGTTACAAATAATCATAAGAAAACAGTGAAAAATGTGTCAAAAAAATAGTCCATCCAAAAATAAAAGAAACCTCTCAGAAACTGTGATGAAACAAAAGAAAACCAAGGACAGTTGTCCTGTCACCGACCACTACTACAGAAGGCTTACCAGAAAGGCATGACCCCCTGTTAAGAGTGGTCAATCGCGCTTTGTTAAACAATCCAGAAAGCCAGTCACTGGAATCCTTCTCCAGATCAACAAAACAGCAGATAAGGATCTTCCAAACAATGGACCTTAATTAGGGTAGCTAAACCATTCAGGATGAGGCTTGGACTCGTAGTGGAAAACATGCAAAGAAAGAACGCTCCACATAGTATAATCCATAATTACAACATTTATTTAAAGTATGGTTGCACTCACATGTAAGCAAACATCATTAGGCATTGATTAGCAAAAAATCCAAATTTTTCCATTTCCAAAATAGCCCCCAGCTGTTCGCGTATGAGCAGTAGCGTGTGAGCATGGCTCCACCCTACGCATTTCGTCACAGGTAACTTCATCAGGGTCACCAATGAATATAATAAATTGCATTTAAAAATGGGTAGAAATTCTTACAAGAATGTGTCCCTCCTCCTCTCCACCCTCCCACAATTTAACGTTGATACTACCATATTGGCTGCTTAAGGGCATGCATTGGATTGTGGGATGGTCACACATGTTGCAATCCTATTGTATAATCCTCTTCATGTTTACCAACAACTCTGTGGTGCAAGAACCAACTGATTGGATAGTAAATGGATTGTGTAGGGAATTTTTTAAGTGATTGTAAACCCTTGCCTTCTAAAACAGCCCATACAATTTAAAATAGAAATGAAGCAAAACATGTGGATAGATATTAAAAACCATTATAAATACCCTTTTCCCACTTTTTTATAAGTGATTGCTTGCCCTCTGTTCTCAGCTGCATAAGGAGCTGGGGGAGGAGAAACAGCATCACACTGATCTTACAAATGAAAATCTGTATGTTTGTTTGTGTGTGTGTGTGTGTGGGGGGGGGGGTCTAGGACAAGTCTGATCATTAGAAGAGAGCAGGCTGAAAGGCTGTGTGTGTGGTGGGGAGGGGGGGGGGCGCTGTCAGGACAAGTCTGATCATTAGAGGGCAGGCTATATTCCCAGCACAGCTAGACATCTGACCACAGTGTGTTTTCCTGCCTGGTGTGGTCCGTTTATAATAGGAAAGCAGAGGGTCTGGCAGGAACACCAGGGACTTCAAAAGAAGAAAGCAGTACAGAGAGCACAAGATACTTTTTCATACAAGTACATGGTACAGAAGGCACATATCAAAAATATGAAATGTTGAGTTTACGTATTCTTTAATTCAAAAGGAGAGTTTAAAGCTCAAGCACATAAAATATCTGTCTTTTGTTTATGTTGTCATATACAGTATATTAAATATACTTATTTATTCATTTTCACAATTCCTTTTTTTTTTTTGCTTTGTCTTTCTGGCCCAACCACTAGTGAGATGTGTATCTATTGCTCCAAGTAACATAACTGCAAATGCCAGACACATCATTTACTGCAGTGCCATTCATATAAGGCTGGGAGAAGCAGTACATGATTTTTATTATACACTAAGCCAGTTCACATGGTAACTGAATCAAAGAAATTTGTGAGTAGCACCTACCTATGTGCCAAATAATGGAAGGGCAGCCTGGGACAGCTTACTCCTTGCAACACACTGCACTCTTTCCTAAATGGATTGTAAACCCCTCGCCATGTAAAACAACCCTTTCCCCTTTCAGTTTAAAGTAGAAATTAAAACAAAACATTTGTGCATAGATATAAAAATATATATTATAAATACCTTTTTTTTTTTTTTCCCTCTTTTTTATAAGTGATCACATTACCTCTAAGTTCCTTATGCAGCTGAGAACAGAGAGCTGGGAGGCGGAGAAGCAGCAACACACTGAGCTTCCCAGTGAATGGCTGTGCAAGGGGTCTATCAGCAGAAGTCTGATCATTGGAGGAGAGCAGTCTGAGTTCCAGCACCGCTAGAGAACTGACCCTGCTGTGCTCTCATAGCTAGTATGGTCAATTTCTACTATGAAAACAGAGGGTTTGGAAAGAGCACCAGGGATTTCACACACAAGAAGCAATACAAAGAGAACAGGAAAGTTTTGCATACATGGTACAGCAGGCACATATCAGGAATACTGATGTCAGGGAACTCTTAGCAGTGGGGAAGTGTGTCTGCATTTGAGGTATGGCTTTTATTGCTAGCTCTGATGAGGATGGCACATGCAGGATAGTTGTAGGGGACTTTACAACTATACTTTAGCCTCATCTTTCATCCCATTAATCACCCTACCTATCCAAATTTTACATTTACATATTGATAGCACTTAATATCCCTGACATGCAAGATCCCTCATACTGCCTCGTAGAATGTGTGATGAAGATATCCGAGGAGGCAGTTTGTGGGATCTTGTGCATGTACAGAAATACTGCAGGGGCTCCCTGGGAGACCTCACCTGGGCAAAGATTGAAAAAAACAAATCAGGTATGTACTTTCTTAAAAACAAACAGTTTTTATAAAGCAAGGCAGAGGAGGCAGGAGAGGTGTTGAAGATATGCTTTCAGCTCAGACCGGTAAAGTGGACATATCATCTGCACAATGCCATTGGAGCTTTTGGGGAAGATATATGTCCCCTGCAGTGATGTTCTACATAGGTAACAGAGCAAGCTACAGAAGCAAGAATCTGACAACTCACTTTGTTTTCTTTCCATATCTTTTTCTCTAATGCTTGTCCTTTCTCAGAACACTAGTTGCTCTTACAACTAACTTTCTCATAACCTAACCTCGTAGAGCTTCCATGGTAACATTCAGCAAGTATGGTGGTACCCAGTGGCATTGCTATGGGTGTGGGGACCACCCCCGGGTGACACCCACCAGAGGGGTGGCACCAGAGCTGCATTACCATAAGTGTGCGCTGCCTGCTAGTGGGGCCCCAGAGGAGGTAGGAGCCTTGACACTTTTTATAGCTTACAGTCGATACACATCCACCACCTCCTGCGCTCAGGGGCTCAGATCAGAGGAAGGTCAATCCAATAAAATGGTAATGTTCATCCAATACTGATCAAAGGTTGTGCAGCTCTAACATGAAGCTGGGGACGCTTGATATAGACTGTAGTACAGAACAAAAGAAAAGAGCGCACCAACCTAGCACATTACCTCAGTAAACTGTTCATGAATTTAGTGATAATTTATACTCACAAGAGTAGCAGTAAAAAAGGTATATAACATCCACAACCAACACAGGGTTAAAAGACACGTGCGAGTTCCATCCAGAAAGGAGATAAACTCTTGGTCAAACTGACGTGTTTTCCCTCCTCAGAGCTTAAAAGGTCTACAAATGCGAACCTGGATTACTGATAAAAAATATTCTATTTTAGTTCAGTTCCTATGCACAGGAAGCATTCTGCCACTATATGATGTGTTTCTGTCAATTTTGCAGAAAAAAAAAAAGAGAGAAACACTGACACATAGTGGCAGAATGCCTCCTGTGAATAGGAACTGAACTAAAATAGAATATTTTTATCAGTAATCCAGGTCCTCATTTGCAGACCTTTTAAGCTCTGAGGAAGAAGGGACCCCCCCTTCGAAACGTGCCAGTTTGACCAAGAGTTTATCTCCCTTCCGGATGGAACTCACACGTGTCTTTTAACCCTGTGTTGGTTGTGGATGTTATATGCCTTTTTTACTGCTACTCTTGTGAGTATAATTTATCAATAAATTCATGAACTGTTTACTGAGGTAATGCGCAAGGTTGGTGCGCTCTTTTCTTTTGTTCTCTACTACTTTTTATAGCTTATCAGAGGTGCAGGTGACAAACGCAGCAGGTTCCGTATCTCTGCTCTGTCTTGCTCCAACTGCTTCATTCATTTTTAAGGGCAGATAGCAGGATTCTGTCTGAGACCAGGAAAGTTAAAGCGGTCGCTCCACCCAAAAAGGGGAAGTTCCGCTTTAAGGATCAGTCCCCCACTCCCGGTTAAGGATTGGCACCTTTGGGGAGCACGGGGGGGGGCAGGTACCTGAAATTGACAGGCACCTGCTCCCACCTCCGCTGTGATCGCCTAGGCGATTGGAAGCGGAAGTTGTCCTCCCCCTTCCCTCCCCGTAGTCTTCTGGGACACGTGACAGGTCCCAGAAAACTATAGAACCATTCACAAATACTTGGGCATGCGCAGTGAGCACCTGGCTGTGAAGCCGCAAGCTGTCACAGCAGGGTGCCCACACTGAAGATGCTGGCGTCGGGAACACAGGGTGGCTGGTGAAACTGGCTTTGGTGGGAAACTGACACAGTGAGGTCGAGAGACAGGAAAGTGTCCATTTATTAACCACTTTCCTGCTGCCCTATAGCAGATATACTGCTAAAGGGAGGCAGGGGTGCGCAAAACCATGTATATATATACATGACTTTGCATTTCCGGGTAGGGCGCACGCAAGCCACACGCTCGCCCTTCCCGTGCTGCCATTCACGGCCACGGCTGTCAATCAACGGGTTCTGGCTGGTGATTACTCATCGGCACTCAGTGATTACCAAGCATCTCCAATAGGGAGGAGGACCGTTTTGTTTACTAACAGTCCTCCTCCCTGTCAGCTCGGGCACACTGCTCTGGATGGCTGTGCTATGTACAGTCATCCAGAGCAGTGTGATTACAGTGAAACACATCCCCCCACACATCCCCCAGTAAAACACTCCCTTCGCACAGTTAACCCTTTGATCGATGCATATGTTAACCCCTTCCTGCCCAGTGCCATTAGTACAGTGTCAGTGCTTTTTTTTTTAGCACTGATCACTGTGTTTGTGTCACTAGGGATGTCAGTGACACCAAGTCAGTTCCCCCCAGTGTCAGAATGTCCACCGCAGTCCCGCTATAAGTCGCTGATTGCCGCCATTACTAAAAAAAAAACCTCCAGTATCTATATCGCCATTTGTAAACACTATGACTTTCACGTAAACCAATTAATTTACACGTATTGGGATTTTTTTTTTAGCAAAGACATGTAGCAGAATACATTTTGGCCTAAATTTTTTGACTAAATTTGATTGTTTGCATTTTTTTTACTGGACATGTTTAATAGCAAAAAGTCCAAAATATTGTTTTCTTCTCAAAATTGTCTTATTTTATTTTTTATAGCTCAAAAAAAAAACACAGGCGATAAATTACCATCGAAAGAAAGCTCAATTCATGGGAAAAAAGGACGTAAATTTCATGTGGGTGCAGCTTTGCATGACTTGTCAATTAAAGTAATACAGCGCCGTAATGCAAAAATGGCCTGGTCAGGAAGGGAGGTAAATCCTCAGGAGGGCAAGTGGCAAAAAGTCAGCAGCTACAGTTTATGTAGCTGCTAACTTTTATTTATTTATTTTTTCACTGGAACTCCACTTTAACTTCCTCGGGAGGAGTCGAGCTGCGAGTGCTAAGTATCCCTTTCTGTCACTACTACTCTCCCAGTCCCTCCCTCACTCTACCACCTATCCAATCCCCCACTTCGCCTCCCATTTGTGTCCGCCCAACCCCACCCACACTCCAACCCCCTGTGTGAGATGGGGAAACAGCTCTCATTGTTTGAACACTGTTTGTGTGCAGTAAATTATTGTGTGGAGTAAATTAAATGTTTGGGAATGACATTCTGCGGTTTAGCCACAAGATGCCACTGTTTTCCTAACACAGCCTCAGACTGCATAGATATTTCTATATTCATGAAGAGGTGGGGTTTTCACACAGAGTTTACAGAACAGGAAGGAGAGAGACAGCAGCCATGTTTAGACGATGGTGAATGCAGGAGCCGTGTGAACAGAGAATCTGATGGCGTCCAGGTGTGAGAACATCCATCAGTAACCAGAGCTGCAGCTAAGTGAAGCTGATCATGTCCAAGACCCTGATCCTGTTCAGAGAAAGGAAGATTGCTGCCAAGAATTCTGATGAGAGAAGAGGAACAAAGCAACATAAATATACTGCATGCTTGTTGGAGAGACATTTGTTCTGTTCAGAGTCACCAGTGGATGTAAAGCAGACCCGGGTCGGTAAGATCGTGCACGCACCTCATTTCAGTGTTGGCTCCTAGAGACTGAGTCCACGTCTATAGTTAGTTTAGTTAGGGTCTCTGTTTGAGTCAGGCCACAAGTGTCATTACTGATCATTGGAAGGGCTCCATAACTTAAAGTGACATTTCACATTGGAGAGCTGATAACATCCCACAAACTCAAGCCAGACTGGCGTTTTTGCTCAGAAGGAATACTCAGGCACGTGCTACAGCACCAGTTATGGGAGGGGGAATACTGTAGATTTGTGTAAGATTGTAAGCTGTTGTGCTGCACCGCAGGCTAGCCCATACCGTATACCCATACACTGATTCCTGCTCTTTAGGGTAATAACGGGTAAGGTGTGGCAGCTTAGTTGTGCCCGCCAGTAGGTAAATTACTACACCTTCTGCCTTCATCCATCAGGAGGCGCCGTGCTGTGCAGCACAAGGGTCTCAGCCTTTGGGCTGGGTGTATGTAAATTTATTGTATGTTTCTCAGCATTTGTGGTTGTGTTTATATGCCACATCTAAGTAAAATTCTGTTGTGGCAAAAAAGCTGCTGCTGTTGGGGGTTGCTTTCCTCGTTCGTGACTTCACTGTATCCTGGGGATCCCACCCCGGTACACGGCTTACACCTGTATGCAATGCCTGCAGTGTGCTGTGAAAGGGGTTCTGTGAGCAGCTGAGCAGGAGATCTGAAACAATGACTGCTATAGCTGCCTAAGCTGCCCAGTGGGAACCAGTCTGAGAGGAGGGAGGCACAATTGGTGAGTGAGTCTTTGGGACACAGAACAAGCCCCCTGTCACCCCCATAACCACCTTTTGCTCTGCCCCCTCTCTTCCCCCCCTTCTCCCTTCCCTCTCCCTTCTCCCCACTGCCTCTTCCCCCGCACTCTCCCCTCTCTCCTTTCACTCTCCCTTCTCACTCCCCCCCCCCCCCCCCACGCACACACTCTCCTCTTTTCCTTTCACCCCTCTTTTTCTCCACTCTCTCTCTCTCTCCTCCCTCTCTCATCCCTTTTCCCTCTTTCTTCCCCGAGTCTCAAATTTCCTCTCCCTCTCTTTCTCCCTCCATTCTCCCCACCCCTCTCTCTCTCCCCCCCCCTCTCTTAATCCCCCCCTCTTTCCGTTTATCCCCCTTTCTCTCTCCACCTTCCCTTCCTCTTTCTCCTCACACTCTCCTCCCTCTCTTCCTCCCTTTCACCTTCCTGTCTCCCCACTTTAGCCCCCTTTCTTTAGCCTCAATTTTTTTCTGCCCCTCTATCTTTCTCCAATCTTTCTCTTTTTCTCCTCTCTATCTCTCCCCCCCCCCCCCGGTCCCCTCACAGTCTCTCCCTTTTGTTCTGTCTTTTTTTTTCTTCCTTTTTCTCACCCTCCTCACTCCCCTCATTTGCCCCCATTTTTTGTCCATCCTCTCTGTCTTCTCCCATTATATTTCCCCCCCCTTTTTTTCACTCTCCCCCTCCTCTCTCTTTTCTCTCTTTCTCCCCTCTCTTCCCGGCATTTCCTCCCCTCTCTTCCCCCCCTTTTTTTTTCTCCTGTACTCTATCTCTTTCTTCTCTCTCTCTCTCACCTCACTTTCTCTATCTTTTGCCTCCCTCTCCCCTCCACCAACTCTTTTTTCCCCTTTCTTTGTCCGATATGTCTCTTCTCATTATATACAGACCAGTTTGCACCCTGATAACACCATACTGTACAACAGGTCTTGAAATTTGAACTCGCCTGCTCGCCAATGGCGAGTGGAAATTATGGTGGGGCGAGTGTGTCCCCAGGGCCGTCTTGCTGAGCAGGCTCGGATCTGTCACTCACACTGGGAGCCGTCAGACTGCTCAATAGCTGAGCGCAGTGAAAGCAAAGGAAGGAGTGTGTGCTGTGCTTTGTCTCCCCCTAGAGTGCAGTACCCGGCTCTGTGAGTGAATAATGAAGTACTGCAACTTTTTATAGGGCTGGCTGTGTGTGTGTGTGTGTGTGTGTGTGTGTGTGTGTTGTGTATTTGTATGTGTGTGTGTATTTGTATGTACATGTATATGTGGGTGTGTGTGTCTGTGTATGTATGTACTTGTGTCTGTGTGTATGTACATGTGTGTATCTGCACATGTGTCTGCGTGTATGTACATGTGTGTGTGTGTGTGTGTGTGTACATGTGTGCATGCATGTACGTACATGTGTCTGTGTATGTATGTACATGTGTCTGTGTGTATGTACATGTATGTGTGTATACATCTGTCTGTGTGTGTGTAAATGTGTCTGTGTATGTATGTACATGTGTCTGTGTGTATGTACATGTGTCTGTGTGTATGTACATGTGTCTGTGCATATGTACATGTGTCTGTGCGTGTGTATTTCTGTGTATGTACATGTGTCTGTGTGTATGCACGTGTATGTGTGTCTGTACGTGTCTGCGTGTGTATACATGTGTCTGTATGTGTGTACATGTGTCTCTGTGCGTGTGTGTACATGTTTCTTTGTGTGTATGTGTGTGTGTGTGTATGTACATGTCTGTGTGTGTGTGTGTGTGTGTGTACAGGTGTCTCTGTTTGTGTGTGTGTGTGTATGTATATGTGTCTGTATGTAAACCTACATGTATGGGTGGTTTGGTCAGGTTCAGGATTATGTGGTTATTATGGATGGTAGAGTATGGGGCATTGAGGTACTGCTGGGTTGGATAGTAGGTAGGATATGTTAATAGAGTTGTATGCGGTGCATGGTATAAAGTATAATGGAGTGTTTAGGGGGACATTGGAGGCCCTGATGTAATGGGGGGGGGGGGACTCTGGGGACCCTGATGTAATGTGGGTAACATTTAACAGTGTCATTTCATTAAATAATTTACAAGGGCGTGTTTAGGGGTGAATTAGGGGTGTAGCAGGGATGGTAGGGGTTGGGTGAAGCAAGTAACTCTAAAGGCCTGGCTAGTAGCTCAGGACTTGAAATTTTAAGCCCTGCTTTACAATATATACAGACCAGTGTATATAATGTACAGTACAGTGTCAGGGTACAGACTGGTCTGTATATAATGTACAGTACAGTCTCAGGGTACAGACTGGTCTGTATATAATGTACAGTACAGTGTCAGGGTACAGACTGGTCTGTATATAATGTACAGTACAGTGTAGGGTACAGACTGGTTTGTATATAATGTACAGTACAGTGTTAGGGTACAGACTGGTTTGTATATAATGTACAGTATGGTGTCATCAGGGTACAGACTGGTCTGTATATAATGTACAGTGCCAGGGTACAAACTGGGTTGTATATAATGTACAGTATGGTGTCATCAGGGTACAGACCGGTCTGTATACAGTGTCAGGGTACACACCAGTCTGTATATAATGTACAGTACAGTGTCAGGGTACAGACCGGTCTGTATATAATGTACAGTACAGTGTCAGGATACAGACTAGTTTGTAATGTATAGTATGGTGCCATCAGGGTACAGACTGGTCTGTATATAATGTACAGTACAGTGTCAGGGTACAGACTGGCCTGTATATAATGTAGAGTATAGTGTCAGGGTACAGACCGGCCTTTATATAATGTAGAGTATAGTGTCAGGGTACAGACTGGTCTGTATATAATGTACAGTTTGGTGTCATCAGGGTACAGACTGGTTTGTATTTAATGTACAGTACAGTGTCAGGGTACAGACTGGTCTGTATATAATGTACAGTACAGTGTCAGGGTACAGACTGGTTTGTATATAATGTACAGTACAGTGTTAGGGTACAGACTGGTCTGTATATAATGTACAGTACAGTGCAGTACAGTGTTAGGGTACAGACTGGTTTGTATATAATGTACAGTGTCAGGGTACAGACTGGTCTGTATATAGTGTACAGTACAGTGTCA